AAATCCGCGATGAGCAGCGGGCAGAAGAAAGAGGGAGCTAGGAAAAGCGGCCAGGGGAGGGAATGTAAGATAAAGAACAAAGGCAGGCTGGAAAATAAAAAGCGAATCATAGCTGTCTCCAAAAGGAATATAAAAAAAGTGACAAACCTGGAGGGGAAAAAAAAAACCCAGAAAAATCAAGTGGAAACATTTAACAGTTTTACAGAACAGTTATTACAGCGAAGCTGAGGAAGAGAGTATATGGGGAATATATGTGAAGATTAGAAAAGTGACATCAGTACACAAACGGCGACGATTCGGCCAACTGCCGTGTTCATGGTTGTCTTGATGATCATCAAGTCCTTAGGACCCGGATTTTCAAAAAGCAAACAAGTTTCCAGTCTGCATTTCACTGGAACTCAAAGGGACCTGATCATCCAATTCCTTCAAGTTTCTTTGCAATTCCCAATCTTAATTTCCAAATCTTGTGCTGTCGGAATCCCAACTAGTTGCATTTGTCTTAATGGAGATGCTGAAACCCCAGGAAATATTGCTTAAAATTGCTTTTACAGTTTGATAGGCTAAGGATATCTGTGCCAATTTTTTTTTTTGCTTTAATTTTTCTACTTGTGATGTGATCGTCACTGAGGATAGGAACATCTATTTTATGGCAGAAACTTGGCATTTAGCAGACAGATGTCCAAGGAGTGCAACAAAGCAGCTGAAGGATGTCACTGGAGGAAAATCTCTATGGAGCCAGTATTTCTTCTACCAGTAGGGGAATAAAGACATTGTTTTTACACAGGAATGCAGCAAGGGACCAGTTCATAGCAAACATGGAAACAAGGAACAGATTTAGGTTCTAGGAGAATGCTTCTCTGAGCAAAGAAGGCCATGTCACTATCAGAAATAAAATGACAAGGCCACAAAAGCTTAAACGGCTGCTTGTTCTAATGACCCATCTAAGCCCAGGATGGTGAGGTCTTATCAGGAGAGTTTGATTTTCTTTGACTTGTGTCTGCGTTTTGAACACACAAATGCTTTTAACAGAGAGCAACAGCTTTTGTATAGCGAGTCTTTTGCAAAGACCTTGGATCTTGCTCTACTTTATCCGTGTTTATGTTTTTCCATTGGGGCTACAGAGCAGTGACATCTCACACACTGTACCACACATCGTGTTTCTGGTCCACTCTCCTCTACAAGGAACGGTCTCTCCCTTACGGTCCCAACTGGGCCGTGGCCTCTCCTCCCATTGCCTATGATCCAGTGCACTGGACACAGCCGATCAGTTGAAATGGAGGTCACAGAGCAGGAGAGAGGGCTACGCTGAAGCTCATCACGTGATTCGGTGCACTCTCAGGAGAAAAGGCTCAAGCGGTCTGGCTGTAACGGAGAATTCCCACAATCAGATGGGCATGTTCTCCCTCTTTCTCCGCCTCCCCCCAAATGTGTAATGCTTTGGTTTACATGGTCACTGTAATCTAGTATAAACCTAGATCACTACCAGGCAGCATAGTCCCACACTTCCCATTAAACCTGACTGACTGCTCACACCCTACTTCCTTGCTTGAGCATTTGTGTCATCACAGGGTCAGAGGATCAGGGAGTTGAGCCAGCTGTAAATTAGCCCAAGGTAAAAAGTGAACATCTGGCAACACCTACCGACTTACTTCAGAGACCATGTAATCGAGGCCTAAATGCCTGAAAGGAGAACCAAGAGGCCTATGTGGCTGGACTGCAGGAACGAGCTGCCCTGTTAGGGGGTCAGAGGAGCCATCTGTAAGACAACTTTGTCAGAGACTCAAATTGCTCAGGATCGTGATCCATTACTGAACAAATTTACAAAATTTAGGTCATAGCTGGGCCCACTTGTAATAAACTGGCATCCACCCAGAAATCAGGATTAGGCCAGTTTTTCTTTTTAAAAATTGTTTATTTTAGTTTCTAAGGTAATAGGAGGTTTGTTTAAAGAAATAAGAGAGAGAAAAACAATAAAATACCCCAGCATTTATTGGACAGTGAAAGTCTCACAGAGAAGATACAATATAGTGGAAACCCTTAGTCTGGCTTCTCGACCAAACCAGCGCTGTATCCTTGGCTGAATTTAAAGCCTTTATTTTTCATGGTATCACTGACATAAACACTGTCCTGTAAACCACAGGTCTCTTCAACTGCTTGTCTTACTCCCTAGGTAGCCATTTATTCAAGTATAAAGGTTAAATTAAAAATAAATGAAAGTAACTGATTCATGAGTGCACTCTGGCAAAAACACAAGTTCCCGAAGCCTGATGGGGACATTGCCGAAGATGAGAAGGTAACCAAGTGAGTAAACACCAACTGCTGGCTTAGTCTTATTTATGAGAAGAAATCTGTTGCAGCAGTTCACTGGAAACCTTTACATGGCAAACAGCAGGGCTGCCAAGCTAAGAGAGACTTTTCTTCCTTTCTCTGTAGCCTGATCCGAGATCTCTGCAAAGAGATCTCAGCCAAAAGGTCCAATTTTATTCTGTGTTCCCACGGAAAGAAGGTTGATGCAATTACACCGTCTGCCAGTGTTTGTCTGTGGGTCCCCTTTCTCCTCTCCTTTCCTTACCCAGAAAATATTGCTTAAGCCATTGCCCAATTCTATCTAAATTTTTGCAAAGAGGTAGAGGTTTCAAAGGTAACTTCTGTGAAATGCAAAGCAAAGTCAATGAAAGAGACTCTAATAATGCTGTCACTGATAAAACAGCAGCCACGTGCATGCACTGCTTAATATACATCAGAGAATCCACACGGGGCGGGGGTGCCACATCAGGACAAGTCCATAGAAAACCAAGCTTCAATTGTTCTGCTGATCACAGAAAAATTTATTTTTATAATCACATTA